ATTCACTACATTTAGGACTCATTAACTTACATACTTGTCAAAACTCTAGGGATTAAACAAGCCCCTCTTAGCAAATCCCTCTGGAAGTATGCAAACACTAAATACACAGAACCAACCAAAACGTCTGAAAAACGGCAATAAGCCCACTCACTTACTTCTCCTTTCGTTTCATTCTTTTGATATTCACATCAGATGTCAGACTTACGCAACCTTAACCACATATTACCAAATGAATACTGCATAAGTAGACACAGATAACCAACTAACACGAACTCCCGAAAACTCGATAACGAACACACACTGGAAAACGTTAGTCAAAGTTAACTAAACGGAAGATTTGAAAAACCTAAACACACCAAAACCCATCGCTCGTCAACCAAAGACGTTCGAACTGCAGTGCCAAACGCCCAGCCTATGGAAACATAAAGCTGGTTGCTCGAAACTTGAATGAGCATAAACAAGTCTAACCAGGCACAAACCAAACTCGCTCAATCATTCGCTCGTRAACCAAAACCATTAATACCGTGTAAAACGTTAAGCCCATGGGAGCACAAACGCGTAAACCAACACCTCGCTGGAAAACCTGAGCGCATATTAACCAGCATTTATGAACACTAAACACAACCTAAACTCGGTTTACTCTTCCAGCTCAATAACCAAACACATTAAAACCGGTAAACCAAAACCTGCCCGTAGCCTGAGCAAACTCCAGACTGAAACTAATAGGCCTGTCATGACTCGCTCCAACCACAGACCGGAGCTATAGTTAACTTAAATAGACACAAACCTATATTGAAAACTCAAACATACCAAAGCAATAAATGGTTGGCAAACACTCTGTGGCACTTACACAAATACAAGAAGTTGAAAACCAGCGTAAAAYCAATCACCCGGCAACCGCTCGTAATGCCGGCACAACTCCGCTGAGTATACTCACACGCACTGACACATGCACTCTAGCTCAACAAACTCCAAGCCTCAAATACTACTATTTCGAACCCCCAAAAGAAACTTAACGCTACAAGTCACCATATTTCTCTTGAAATCTTGCCTCTTCTTGACCGACGACCTGTCCGTCTTGTTGCTGTCTATCAGCCGCCTTCTGATTCTGCTCATCAACTTCTAATGCTTGTAACCGGGACTTGATTAGCCATAACACTTTCGACTGGCGGCAAGCGTAACAGAAACTATAAGACATTCGCACTGCTTGTGCCCTTTGAATGAAGTGTTTGGAGTAGCCACTCCCTGACCCTATATATACTCATTTACATAATTACAATTCCCTAGGGTATTAATTATAATATTCAAATGACTTTGAATAGTCTTGACATCATGTGGTGAGAGTCCATTGCCGTGCACATGCCCAAGGCTGACCAGGCTCAAGTTGACGGTTTTAAAATGCTGCGACCGTCTTTATTATTTCCATGTTGCAGTTTACCCGAGCCTCCGATGATTTTTTTGCGATGGTTGCATACTAAATGCTGGATTATTTTAGAAAAGAACTATAACACTGATTTCCGCGATGCTCTGTCTGATAAAAACACTTGGGATGTAGGGAGAACTCCCGAGAAGCTAAAAACTTGAAAAGTTAAATCGTGTAATTCATGAAATAGAAAGTCTTGTGCAACCCCTTTTAAAAGTCACATTCTTTCTGAGTGCAATCCCTAAAAGGTGAAATGATGTACACACTACTCTTCACAATTACCCTACACCAACCCAGACAATAAATAATGACAGACCCTAGAAGTCATGATTCCTGACAATATCAATTTATTAGTCATAAAAGTATAGAAACTAAAAAAGAAAATAACATTAAGTATTTAGTGTACACCAAAATACCTTAAAATTCTCGTTGATAGAGGTCAAAGTCTGAGAGTGCTAATTAAACAATAGAAAACATCAGAATTAGCATAATTTATCTCGTTTAGCAGCATTAATAGATCGTTTTGGAATATTCACAAATATTAATGCAAGAAATGATATCCTGTTCATATTAACGTTTGCGCTCATTAGAAAACTACTAGTGATAGTCATTTTCATCCGTCTGTGAAATAGAATACTATTACTCCCTATTAGCTCCAAATAGTTTAACTTGCGACATGCGACAAAGCAATTAGGCTAACACGGTTTTGATTTTGCCTTTTGGTATAAAAAATATATCGGTCTTTTATCTAAATTGTAGAGCCTGTTTAAGACAATTTCGGGCGAAATGTATACCCTGTTTAAGACAGCAAGGCCAAAAACCATACCCTGACCAGCGGTACGTCCCAATATAGCAAATATATGGGAGTACCCCCGTACMCCCCCCCCCCCCCCCCCCGGGCCTAATAGTTACTATTAAAACACTGACTAGTAGTAATTGTTTCACAGACGGATATGAAAATTACTCTACACAGTTCATAATATGGTCTAATAAGTATCGATTTTCTTGCGAAAAACGATATATTTTCAAAAACCAATTATACAGTGATTGTTACCTAAACATACCTTATCTATATACAATTATAATATGAATAGATTTGGTTTTTCGAGCCTTGCCAAGATATGTTTGATTTTTGTGCGAAATGGCTCTTAATATCGGTTTTTGTATTGTCAAATTGATTGTACCAGCTCCGTTCAATTAAAAAACTTTACAATAGAAAGCAATCATGTATAGAATTGCCATTTTGTTAGGGCAGTTAACGTGGAATTTGATGAGCAACAATGAATTGCGGTCTCAGGAGTGCACTATGCAGTATCTATACGCATCCAGTATTCAACGTTTTCTGCAATAGCTGTATAATCAAATGGCCCTATTTCGATATGGCTAATTTTAATTGTATTATCGATTGAACTTGACAACTCTGTTGAGTATGGATACAATACACTGGATATAGTAACTGGTAATGTTATCTAAAATATTCCAAAGCAGACACCAATAACAGTTTTTCTATAAAAAGTTCCGAGTCGAGCATGGCAATGTGAGCAGCACGCCCGATAAAAGAATTCGCCGAGCTGTTCAAGGCGTGGTAGCAGCTGTACCGGATAAAAGTCATATTTTCTTTGTCTTTTAACGGCGACAACAGGTTGGAGATCATCTCTCGGTAGATTGTTCCTGCGGACATTGACAAGAGTTAGACTAATGCTCTATCAGTGAATAAAGGAATAACAACAAAATCAGAGTGGTTTTCATGCGATTGTGAACCAATTACTATCATTTGCTCTTGATACTCAGTGGGGAAATTTTGCACAAATGGCCCTTTGCTTGTCTGTCTTGCACTATTCTTTTGGCCTGTTCTTTGCCTGGTACTGTTCAGCAAACTTCCCGTCTTGATCCGAGATTTCACCCACGGGTTGTTAAAAAAGAATTGTTTAGTTAAATCCGAATTTGGTAGAATTCTAAAATTCCGCATTTCTATGTTTAAGGTGAATCATCATTTTACAGTACGACGAATGTGAACATTCTCGTCTTAAAAATGCATTTCAGGATAAAGTGACAAACAAGCTTTCAATGAAAACTGGAGAGGATTTTGCAGGGTCTGAATGGGGTTAAAAGTTAACTGAGAAACGGCTTAAATAATAACTGTTAACTGAGAATTTTGGGTTTATTTAGCTGATAACTGATATTAACAAGATAACTGTTAGCTGATATTCCTTTGTTTGCATATGTTTTGCATGTAGGTGAACCTTGTTCCCAGGGCTTCTCTGTTGTTGTTTTTTTTTTTTCAAAATGGTGGACAGAGATGGCCCTGACATCGGCCGGTCACGTGACACCTACTCTCAGTGGGTGTTTAGTTTGGAATACTCTGGCTATCACGTGTGATATCAACTTTATGTCACGCATAAATATAACTGTTGATGCATTTTAAAAAGTTGACTTGAGCAAAGCCCAGCCACTTTCCATCTCATAGACATCTCCGTCTATGATCGTTATGAAAGGCATGGCGAAAGTATTTGTTTACTACTATAGAAAAGGGGAGGAGGTACACTTTGAGAATTATCGGAGTTCCAATATTGACTACAGTGTCCAAAGCTCAGTATTAAAGCTGAAGAAACATTTGGGGACTTTTCTTAGCCTGAAAGAACAGACCACTGGTGAAACGTACTTTTTCTTAATAACTGAATATTTAAATGTTAATTATTACACAAAAATTATAATAATTAACAAGTAGCTTAACTGAGGACCGAGAAAATTAACTGATAACTGAGTGGAAGTGGAAGTGGAAGTGCTCATATTTTGCTATCAATGTTACCCAAAAAAATGCCTTGCTGTGTAACGTTTAAATGTAGGAACCAATCCAAGAAGGAGGACACTAAAAATCTCTCAATGAGAGATTGCCTGACCTTTACCGAGGCAATCGATACATTATGGAATAAATACAACCAAACTTTTAGTTTTGCGCGATACACCGGGCTGTTTGAGAACATAGCAGACATAGTGTGCACGTCCTCTTATTGATACGAATATCGAACATCAAAAACAGTATTCTCCAATGATATTATTCCATAATAAATCGATTTCCTGACGTTTAGCTTTTCCTGAACACACCATCAGGCAATCGAGAAATAGTGCCGTGCTTTTGTACACAAGCTTGTCAAACAGAATTATTTCGGTCTTTATTCCATGTCTCTTGTTCTATCAATTGAATTTCTTACATTGTTTTACTGTTAACAGGCATGGTCTTACCGTACAAGTAAGAAAAGCCCAACTCACCGTATTCTGAAGTATCTTTAGAAGCAGCTTTACATATTTCTATTCTAGCGGAATGGTAAGGCACATAATGATCCTGCACAGAGCTTACCAATAAAACGTTCTTAAAGTACTCCAGGCCTGTAAAGATAAAGTCGYATTTCTTTCTAACATTGGATTTGCAAATGTTTTGTACTGTTTCTTTTGTAATGTGTGAGATATCCATTCTGGTGGTTGTAGTAGAATAACAGCGCACCGTAACTTACGCTATGTTTACGATACTGAGATGAGTGACTGCATTAAAATGTGTGCCAAATTAAGTACAGTGGCGAGGAACAATAAGATCATACCTTATCAAAGAGATGTATTGATGAAAATAAAAACAGAAGAAATAAAATGGATGAATCTACGTGTTCATCGAATGCGCATCGATACTGAAGGTAAACGAAACTTAAACCTAATCTTCAAAAGGTAAAGGACTTGACATCTATCTATCATGATTAATTATCATTTTTTCACAATCTGGGAAAAAAGACATAAATGCTCGAAGAAACATGCGCATTTGACATTACAAAAGATAACTTAGATTTGTTCGAATGTACATCATTTTGCTCAAACAACTCGAAATTTTAGGTTAAGATTTTATTGAAACTTCGTCAATATATCAATTATGTTATGAAGATTGAAATGATTCTGAAAATTTTATTACAATCTCTGCGATGAGTTTCGCGAAAATTAACTTTGAAGAAAAATGAAGGTGTTTTTATTTTGCGACGTAATTGGAGTTTAAAAATACGCGCGAAACGCTATTTATTACGATCGAAACACCTTAACGGTAATGTAACTCGATTTTCCTAAAATAAACAGGCAATGTTGTACTTAGTTGGAAAATTTTAAACATGTTTTGATTTGCAATTTACTGCAAAAATAGCAGTTTTATGGCAGAAAGAAAGAATTTAAAGAAAGCTGTTTTCCGTCCAATTTCGATGGCATCTAGAAAAACCAAAAGCACTGCGTTTAACTGTAGGATATTGCTAATAATATATCTCAAAACCAAGGAAATTTTTCTAGCCGATTTTTAGAAAAACAATGTGTTGCATTTTTTGTGCTTTTACGAACACGCTCACAATTGGCCCATATTCATGATAAAATGCCAATGTCTGACGCTCAGGTTTACAGAAAAAGACTTGCTTGGCTTATAAGATTATGCTGTACAAGTATATTATTTCTCTTGGCAGTTGTGATTTCTTTCTGTACACCGTTGTTTATGCCGCAACTCTGAAAAAGAGTAGTTTTAGCGTTTTTCCAATTAACTCAAAAATGAGGCCGATTTATTTTTTCTTCTTAACTGAGTTGTTTCATCGCTATATGGACAACGTTATTGCAAAGTTTCAGTTGGATTGATACATTTAACCTGGTCAAAAAAAAAATAAAAATAATAAAAATTTCGCTTCAAGACGCGTCCAAGAATTTATGTTTTAGCTCAATGGTCGACAGCGCACGAGAAAATGTTTTAATAATTATTAATGAATTTGATACTATATATTCAGGCGGATGTAATACATTCCTTGAATGTAAGATGTAGCGCTTTTATTATAATACGCAAATGAACAAGTCGTTGCACCAATTTTTTTTATTTTGTTATTGATTCAAAGTAATTTGTAGCCTCTGAGAGAATTCTTCGATTTTTGTTAGGCGGATTTAACGCATTCCGTCATGACATGAAATAAAAGAATGGAAAATGTTTGATTCACTTTCTTCGCTTTCGGACATGCTTATAAGAAGCATCATAAACAAGAGGCCGTTATGCATGAGCATGCGCGCAACCGCTGCGTTATAACGACCATGGGCTCTAGAATACGGGTAGAATAACATTGTAGTAGCTGCGGAAGCTTCGATTCTGAACATAATTGATGTTTTTACTTATCTTCCACATTTTTCCAAACAAAACCAAGTAGATAYATTTACAATGCACACGAATATCTTTCAAACTTAATATAAATTACTGTGAGTCTCGGGCTAGATTTATAACACGAAGCCACTTTGTACCGTTAAAATGTAGTGAATTATTTGTGCACATCTTTAGCAATAATAAATTCCTAAGATGTGAATCGATTGCACTGCATTAGGTTATTTCATAACTTATAATGATACAGCTATAGAACTACACATAGATATTTATGATAACTTGATTCAAACAAGCTCAACTCTTCAGCCAAAAGAATGGTAAATCTGTCGTGAGTGCTCAACAGCACGTAAGAATTTGCAGAATTAACACCGTTCCACATTTTTCATAGACAAGAAAACATTATCAAACCATTTGCAAAGCATAAGTCTTGATATTGGTAGCCTTATTCTAATGAGTCCTGGTGGTATGTAAAAGGAAAGTAGTATTTCATGTAACAGTTAATAATATTTAAGCGTAAATATTGCACACTTCAAGAAACTGTCTTTCGAACATTTCGAGGTCGATGTTGCTAAACGATGCCTAATTATATTACTACATGTGTACATTTACCATTTACTTCATGACCTGCGTTGAATCTTGACMAGCACTCAGCAAAAACTGGAATAGTAGTTGCGTATATAAACCACTGCAGCCTCCATATTGTAAACACAAAGTCATTAATATTAACATTTGTTAAATAAGATTTTAAACGGTCCCAATCAGTCCAATAAGGCCAGTGTTTTTCTTCGTTGTAGGTTACACTATTTATGAGTGTTCTTGAGTCATGACAGAACATTTCAGGGTCAAAAACAGCCAAAAACATTTTTGGAAAATGTCCTTCGTGTCGTTGTAATTTCTCGCTTGAAGTGAATCACTAATGAATTTCAATGAATTTTCAACAGACTGGCGCATGCGCACGCCAAACGGCCCCTTGTTCACGTTCAATTGTTTTTCTCAAAATCGGCTAGAAGAATTTCCTTGATTATGAGATATATTATTAGCAATGTCAAACTGTTAAACGCAGTACTTTTGGTTTTTCTAGGTGCCATCGAAATTGGCCGCAAAAGAGCTTTCTTTGAATTCTTTCTTTCTACCATAAAACTGCTATTTTTTGCAGTAAATCATTGTTTACTCATTAGTATTCTTGTATATATATCCTTACTTTTGCATTTTATCTCACTTGATAATGACGTTTGATAACGTCGAAACGTCGCGTCAGAATTTTAACAACCATAATGTGTTATCGCAGAACTTTCTTGTTAAATGTTTTTCTAAAACTCTACTTATACGAAATCAAAAGTTAAAACATTTTTAAAAATTTTCCAACTAAGTACAACATTGCCTGTTTATTTTAGGAAAATCGAGTTACATTAAGTTGATCAAACGGCCATTTAAAAAATATGTTGCGCGGGAGTGCCAACCACTATGAAACACCTTAATTGAATGGCATGGAGTCCGATTACCTATTAATCATATATACACATATTATTCCTAACTGTCCGTTTAAGAAAATAATTTTAAACTACCTTTTGATCGGCTTAGCCGATAGATACACGTTTGCCGTAGGTCTTCATGGTCATTGAGGGACAGCTGCGTGAGTGCTTCAGATTTCTTCCACTTTTGCATTAACCATAACCCTGTTACAAGAATTGTATGAAATATACAAATGGGATATACCAATGGAATAGAATGAACTACGAGGTAGAAAGTCACGGAGAAGGTCATACCTGTACTGACCAATGGGCTAGTAGGATATAACATACCAACGTGCGGGCCACTTAAAGACAAGAATGTATGCATCCTGTCTAACAAAGGTTGCATGCATGGATGGGCCAGGGCTGATCGAATGATGATGTTACCCAGTGAATGCCCCACAAAACTGTCAAAAAAAAATGCTCAGTCAATATTTAATCATATTGAGAACATTTAAACTTTTATAAAATTAGATCAGAGGAAATTGATAGGATTTAGCAAAGATTACTATGCCAAGAACGTTTGGCAATAACACTGATTGGTAATGATAAATTGTTGTGGTAATTGTTGAAGGGGGATGGTATGATACAGGGAGGGTTAGAAAATTTCACTTCAAATCTGGTATGTCATCACCCTATTCCCAGTAACCACTTTTCAATTTCCACCTCCCCTTCCCCTGCTAACTTCTGACAAGACCCTTATTTCGGTCTTTATTCCATTTCTCTTGTGCTATTAATTGAAATTACAGTTGTTCTGACGACTTTTCACCAAAAAAAATCGACTGCCTGACTTTTAGTTCTGGGACTAAACGTCAGTCATTCGAAAAATCTCAAAATGCTGCGTGCTTGTTCTGTATGTGTATACAAACTTATCGAACAGTGTTTTTTTCCGTCTTTATTGCATTTCTCTTTTTGAATTCATTGAAATTACAGTTGTTTCGACGATTTAAAAAAAAAAAAAAAAAATTGGGACTAAACGTCAGCTAGTCGAAAATCTCAAAGTGCCAAAAAGGGGCCATTTCATTGCGCATGCACGATACGCTTGAGCTACCTTGGTCACAGTAGCACTGTTTCGGAGCTCGTTCTCGGTCGAGATGTTTACATAATTTACGTTCAGGAAAATTTAAAATTAGACGARAGGTACTTACCTTGAAGTGTAATTGTAATTCTTTGAGATATGTGGAGCATTATGGGATAATTATGCATACTTCCAAACTACTAACTGGTCAGCGGTCCACAACTTCAAAGCCATTCAAATGCAAATTACAGTACAGTATATATTCYCAGGTGAGAACATCAAAGTCAGTTCTTCCTGGAGTGCACAAAAATAAATTGGCGAAGGTCCCACATKATGKGAGGGAATGACATAAGACCCACATGAAGGGTGGGAAGCATTATCCCATAATGCTCCACATATCTCAAAGAATTACAATTACACTTCAAGGTAAGTACCTCTCGTCTAATTTTAAATTCTTTTTCGATATGTTCCACATTATGGGATAATTATGCGACTTCAAAGTACCGAAGCCAATTAGTCCACTCATGTAGCATAACATTTTAATCAGCAACATATGATTGTTGTTATCAACTAATCTTAAGGATTACATTCCCTCAAATAATATTTACGAAAGGTATGTTCATTAGTCCAATCAGCATTATGCAAAATTTCTGAAATTGGAATTCCTTTGGCATAGGCATTACTAGTTGTAGCACTTCTAATACTATGTGCCTTAAATACTGATGTATCTATGCCAGCATCAGTCATAACTAATTTCAACCACCGAGCCAGAGTATCTGTTGAAACTGGTTTGTGTGGCTTAATGTACGACACAAATAACTTGGATGCTATAGTACCACATAGATTTCTGACATCCTGTGTGCGTGAAATATATTCTGCTAAAGTACATTTAGTACATAACTCAGGTTTGTCTCTTAAACACTCAAATTTAACTTTAACACTTTTACCCGGTTTGGACGTTTTGAGCTTCTCGGGTATAACAAAACTGATACAAGCTGGACTTTCAACTTTATAATTCAAATCGAGGGCGCACAAAGTTTGCTCCCTTTGGCTGGATGATAATGCACAAAGCATTACAGTTTTCAATGTCAGCTGCTTAAGTGTGAGCTGATCCAATGGGAAGAAGGTTTTCAAATAATTCGTCACCATGGTAACATCCAGGTTGTTGCATAGCGAGGGACTGGAGTACGCAGAGAGTAGATCCCTTTTAAAAGCCTTGTAATTAGTGGGTGCGAACCTACGGCACAGTTGTTGACAGGGCTAAGTGTGGATGATAGTGCTGATCTGTAAGAGTTCAACGTGCTGTAGCCTTTGCCTTCATCATAGCAATCAGACAAGAAGTTGCCAACCTGTTCTATAGGCGCCTGAATGATATCAACTTCCCTTTGCTTACACCAGCTACACCATCTTTTCCAAGCTGAATTGTATTGCTTATCAGTCCCAGAGGACCAAGATGAGATAATGAGGTTGGTTGCGCCTGCAGAAAATCCTCTGTCAGTAAGGTGTTTCCGCATAACATCCATGCGGCTAGGATCAGATTGTCTTTCAATGGGTGGAGTGCATCGCTCTGTGGAAGTACAAGTAGGTAATCTGTCTTGGGCAGTAACATTGGCCTGTCTATTAAAAGTTGAAGGAGAAGAGGGAACCAGCTCTGGGTTGTCCATACTGAGCAATTAACAATACAAGTGCCTTGTCCTCTTGGATCTTCCTCAATACTTGGGGGATTAAACTAAAAGGAGGAAATGCATAGCATTTCAAATTAGACCAAGATATAGTGAAAGCATCAACAGCCATGGCATCAGGCYCCGGATGCCACGACACATAGTTAACTGTTTTGGCATTAAGTCTTGATGCAAATAAATCCACATCTGGGATGAATGTTAGTTGGACAACTTGTTCATATACCCCCTTATTTAGTGACCATTCTAGGTTGAGGGAAAATTTCCGTGACAGATCGTCTGCTCTGGTATTCATTTTCCCAGGAATGTGCTGGGCACTGAGAAAAATATCTCGCGAAATGCACCATTCCCACATTCTTCTTGCTAACAAATCTAAACGAGGAGACCTGATCCCACCCATATTATTGATATAGGATAGTGCAGTAGAATTATCAATCTTCAACCTAACATGAATGCTTTGTCTACTACTCACAAATGCTCTCAAAGCATTAAATGCAGCTAAAAGTTCGAGGTAATTGATGTGATTCGAAGCTTCTAGATCAGACCAACGTCCTTGGGCAGGTTGACCCTCACTGAATGCCCCCCACCCTATTAGGCTAGCATCACATTCAATGATAACGTCTATAGGTCGTGACCCAAAATAACAACCATTCAACTGTGAAAGGTTTTGGAGAACCCAGTGCAAGTCTGAAATGGCTTGGGAGCTCAAAATTGCTGCTCCATCAAAATCCCCGTGAGCCCTTAGGGCTTCAGATTTGCACAACTCAATTGATCTGTAGAACAGTCTTAGGTAATTTATAGCTGGGAATGCTGACACCAACAGGCCCGTGACATTGGCTAGTTGTCTCACCGATGGCCTGCGATTTGATAGCAAGCTACGGCAGTTCAAAATAATTTTTTGAATTTTTGTCTCAGGAAGAAATACCCTCATCAAATTGGAATCAATGATAAAACCAAGAAATTCTATTCTTGTAACCGGCTCAAGATGAGACTTGCCTTCATTTATAATAAAGCCGAGATCCTCAACTAGCTTCCTTAACAGCCTCAGCTGGTCTAAGCACTCCTGCAATGAACTTGCAGCCAATAATATGTCATCAAGAAAGATGACTATTCTAAGACCATTGAGTCGCAAATGTGACACAACCGGTTTCAAAACTTTCGTAAACACTCTGGGTGCCAAACTATACCCAAAAGGTAAACATGTAAACTGATATCTCTGTTCTCTCCAAATAAAGCGCAAATACTTTCGATGCGGTCCAAAGATTGGAACACTAAAATAAGCATCCTTGAGGTCTATTGAGATCATATAGTCCCCCTGGGAAATAAAATTCAATGCCATTTGAATATTTTCCATTTTAAAATGAATTTTCTGCATGAATTGATTCAATGGTTTTAAATTAATAACTGGCCTCATATCACCAGTTTTCTTGGGGACTAAGAATATGTTGGAAACAAACTCCTCTTTACAGGGGAAAACATATTCAATTGCTCCTTTCCCAAGAAGTTTCACAACTTCTTCATCAATTAAATTCATTTCACATTTATTAAATGGAGGAGGTGTTGGTAAACACAGTTGTACCGGTGTGCTCTCAAACTCTAAATGGTATCCTGCTATGGTTTCCAGAACCCAAGGGTCACTGGTGAGATGACGCCAGTTTGACATATAATTCATTAAATTTCCAGCATAATAGCTGGTGTTATCAGGTAAATGAATTACCTCACTTAAGCTTTGTCTTTTGTTGTGTCCCTGTACACTTTGGTGTTCGTGGTGGACTGATGCGTTGGCTGCCTTCTTTCTGCGTAGGCTGCCTTGTTTCCATATCCTAAAAAATGCCTGCGTCCACCACGTTGACTGTATCGCCCATGAGCGCTATTGCTCTTATAGTCATTATGATAACCACTGCGTCTTGATGAAGCATGCCCATGAGTGCGAGACATGGTTTTCTTTGCAATCTTGTTGACCTCACTTATCTCTTTAATATGCTTTGGCAGCTCATCGCCAAACAAATATGTTGACATGGGGTTACTTTTGCTGCATACCGACTGGTACGCCTGAGCAATGTCAGGTTTTAAGAATTCTCGCCTTTTAAGGGAAGTCAAATAAGATGCGTGGCCCAACAATGTTACTGCATCCGCTACGAGTGGAATAACAGTCGCCATTTCAATGGGCTTTTTCTCGCTCTGGTTTTTCAAAACCGAGTCCAACAGTTGAACCATGGGCTGTNCAGCCATGGCATCAGGCTCCGGATGCCACGACACATAGTTAACTGTTTTGGCATTAAGTCTTGATGCAAATAAATCCACATCTGGGATGAATGTTAGTTGGACAACTTGTTCATATACCCCCTTATTTAGTGACCATTCTAGGTTGAGGGAAAATTTCCGTGACAGATCGTCTGCTCTGGTATTCATTTTCCCAGGAATGTGCTGGGCACTGAGAAAAATATCTCGCGAAATGCACCATTCCCACATTCTTCTTGCTAACAAATCTAAACGAGGAGACCTGATCCCACCCATATTATTGATATAGGATAGTGCAGTAGAATTATCAATCTTCAACCTAACATGAATGCTTTGTCTACTACTCACAAATGCTCTCAAAGCATTAAATGCAGCTAAAAGTTCGAGGTAATTGATGTGATTCGAAGCTTCTAGATCAGACCAACGTCCTTGGGCAGGTTGACCCTCACTGAATGCCCCCCACCCTATTAGGCTAGCATCACATTCAATGATAACGTCTATAGGTCGTGACCCAAAATAACAACCATTCAACTGTGAAAGGTTTTGGAGAACCCAGTGCAAGTCTGAAATGGCTTGGGAGCTCAAAATTGCTGCTCCATCAAAATCCCCGTGAGCCCTTAGGGCTTCAGATTTGCACAACTCAATTGATCTGTAGAACAGTCTTAGGTAATTTATAGCTGGGAATGCTGACACCAACAGGCCCGTGACATTGGCTAGTTGTCTCACCGATGGCCTGCGATTTGATAGCAAGCTACGGCAGTTCAAAATAATTTTTTGAATTTTTGTCTCAGGAAGAAATACCCTCATCAAATTGGAATCAATGATAAAACCAAGAAATTCTATTCTTGTAACCGGCTCAAGATGAGACTTGCCTTCATTTATAATAAAGCCGAGATCCTCAACTAGCTTCCTTAACAGCCTCAGCTGGTCTAAGCACTCCTGCAATGAACTTGCAGCCAATAATATGTCATCAAGAAAGATGACTATTCTAAGACCATTGAGTCGCAAATGTGACACAACCGGTTTCAAAACTTTCGTAAACACTCTGGGTGCCAAACTATACCCAAAAGGTAAACATGTAAACTGATATCTCTGTTCTCTCCAAATAAAGCGCAAATACTTTCGATGCGGTCCAAAGATTGGAACACTAAAATAAGCATCCTTGAGGTCTATTGAGATCATATAGTCCCCCTGGGAAATAAAATTCAATGCCATTTGAATATTTTCCATTTTAAAATGAATTTTCTGCATGAATTGATTCAATGGTTTTAAATTAATAACTGGCCTCATATCACCAGTTTTCTTGGGGACTAAGAATATGTTGGAAACAAACTCCTCTTTACAGGGGAAAACATATTCAATTGCTCCTTTCCCAAGAAGTTTCACAACTTCTTCATCAATTAAATTCATTTCACATTTATTAAATGGAGGAGGTGTTGGTAAACACAGTTGTACCGGTGTGCTCTCAAACTCTAAATGGTATCCTGCTATGGTTTCCAGAACCCAAGGGTCACTGGTGAGATGACGCCAGTTTGACATATAATTCATTAAATTTCCAGCATAATAGCTGGTGTTATCAGGTAAATGAATTACCTCACTTAAGCTTTGTCTTTTGTTGTGTCCCTGTACACTTTGGTGTTCGTGGTGGACTGATGCGTTGGCTGCCTTCTTTCTGCGTAGGCTGCCTTGTTTCCATATCCTAAAAAATGCCTGCGTCCACCACGTTGACTGTATCGCCCATGAGCGCTATTGCTCTTATAGTCATTATGATAACCACTGCGTCTTGATGAAGCATGCCCATGAGTGCGAGACATGGTTTTCTTTGCAATCTTGTTGACCTCACTTATCTCTTTAATATGCTTTGGCAGCTCATCGCCAAACAAATATGTTGACATGGGGTTACTTTTGCTGCATACCGACTGGTACGCCTGAGCAATGTCAGGTTTTAAGAATTCTCGCCTTTTAAGGGAAGTCAAATAAGATGCGTGGCCCAACAATGTTACTGCATCCGCTACGAGTGGAATAAMAGTCGCCATTTCAATGGKYTTTTTCTCRCTCTGGTTTTTCAAAACCGAGTCCAACAGTTGAACCATGGGCTAAGCAGCTTTAACAAAGTTCTTTTGGATTTCCTGCAGCCCTAGGTCTTTTGTTTTGGTGTTTCGAGGCAAATCATGCCATAGTTCAAGGTTAACCTTGGGAACACACAGCAAACGGCAGTTTTGTGGCGTCTTGTACTTGTCTTGAATTTCCTTGAATTTAGTTTCAAGTGGTTTCTTTGAAACAGAGTCGTTTATCCTCTTTGCAACGACCTCGGACACTTCTGGACCAAAGGTCTCTGTCTCCTCAAAAATTGAGGGCAAAAATTCGCTTGATTCAAGCGTTTTAGCATTTGGTTCTGTAGACGGCACGTTTACGCCCGACAAATCCTCAGTTGGGTCGAACAYTGACGCTGGAGGCGAATTAACAGAATTAACTCCCGGTTCGGGATTTCTGTTCGAAGCTACAGCTTCTAGGTTAGCAATCTTTTCGTTCATCGCTCTAAGCGTGTGCTCAATGCCTCCTAGGCCCAGTTGATCCCTTAATTCATCGATATTTTCCTCGTAGGTGTCTTCGAAACGCTCCGCTTCAATTGGAAGCCCGCTAACCTCCGTGGAAGGTTCGGTATCTGACATGGCCACGTGGAGCTTTCACTTCAACAGCGACGAAAAAACCGTATAAACTTATCGTACTGACTACTTGTGACCTGTAGAATAAGATATAAAATATATCCATTAATAGTAAACGGCCAAAATAAAGCAATCTCCCAACAATTCGAAGAGAAATTAAAAGACACGCTGACCTGAAGCACGAAAGGAAGAACTGACTTTGATGTTCTCACCTGGGAATATATACTGTACTGTAATTTGCATTTGAATGGCTTTGAAGTTGTGGACCGCTGACCAGTTAGTAGTTTGGAAGTATGCATAATTATCCCATAATGTGGAACATATCGAAAAAGAATACGCTTTTTCATTCTTCAGCAAGTAATTGATTAGGTTAAAACGTCAAGTCTAGTATCGAATATGTGTTGTAAGTCTTATTCAAATTAAATTTCTGGAGTATATCTTCTTAAAATATGGTTAAAAATCATACAGGGTGACTGACTTTGAGAAAATAAAATCGCGACTGAAATGTGGTCAAAACTTTGTCGTTGGTTTATCTTAGAAACAAGACGCTCTGGTGTCTGTTCTTATAGCTATGTAAATTGGATGCTATTTGTACTTTATGACAACATTTTGTTTTGAAATCGCTTGCAATTAAAGCGACAAGATTCACACAGCCTTTATGCGGTAATTGTTAAATTCGCGCTTTTTGACATTTTTCATCTTGAAATATTATTAAATCTAGTGAAAATACCATTTTTGAAATAAAATGTGGTTAAACTCTATTTTGAAACAAAGTTTCTTTTGTATTAAAAGATCTTATCCAATCATAAGCACTCAAAACAATAGCCAAAAGATGCTTCTAATAGACTTCTGAACCTTTTACGTCACTACTTGATTTTCAATGCATTGTGGGATCAGTTTCAAGAGAAAACAAAAGAAATCCGCCATGTTCTGTCCCAAACATATCCTACAATGCATTGCGTATACGGTACATGACGTAAAAGCTACAGAGGTCTATTTGCTTTAGTATAATTTCATGAGTGAATATCATAATTCTAGCGCGCTGATTGGTCGAATTTGACGCTTCAAAGAGCGATGTTCACCTATAGGTGAATATTGGATTTTTTCGCAAAATGGCGTCGTCCGCGAGTCGTTGGATTTAAACAATTGGATTAAAAAAAATTGGATTAAAACTTTTACAGGTAAGTTTTGTTTATTTAATAATAAAAACCTTGTCTAAAACTACTTTTTTATCTATCGTTTTACGTCAAACAGGCTGAAATTTGTAGGTTTTCGCCTGGTTTGTTTACATTTTACTCGATTAATTTTTTGACAGAATGGTTTCAACAACAGTCTGAATTTACTGTCAGCTTTGAAGACATCGATACAAGTGAATTAAACAAGTGTCTATCAAAGTTTTACAAGTCCATAAGTAAGAAAAATACCAATTATTACAAGAAGACGACTTTGCTGTCAATCCGAGCGGCCCTCGACCGCCATCTTCAATCCCCGCCACATAACATTTTACGAAAAGGCAGTAGTTCTTTTTTCTCTGCTTTTATGAATATTCACTTATGGAATTATGCGGAATCGCCGCTCGGTAAATATTCATTGATAATCACTTCGCCTTCGGCGAATAATTGTTAAATGTTCCCTACATAGAATTGCGTTTCAAGAAAGCGAAAACAGACATTAAATAAAATATTAGAAAATGCGCTAACTTGTAAAATAATAGCAGATTTTCATGTTTTAACCAATGGGACGGATGGATTATACAATGCACAATTAGCACCTACTTGCATTCCTTTGCCGTTTGCTTCCCTAGTTCTTACTCGGGGCATTACTTAATTGTACATTGTACATAATTAACAATTAGACCCGAAGCCCGAATGGGCTACGGTTCAATAGCTCACGAGACCGGAGGTCAAGTAGGCTACTGAACGTAGCCAATGAGGACGAGAGGTCTAATTGTTTTAGTATCCAACAACTGAGAAACAAACTATTTTCATTTTTTTGCGAATTCAGTAGAAACAGAAGTACATAACCAGAAGTGTCCATCTCCCCAATAACATCCACACCATCAGATGTCCCGATGATCTATTTTTAGACAACCAAGAGAACTTTTCCCTTGTTTTCGCAGATCATATTGCTCTTGAACTTCCTTCGCTACATTGCTCATATAGTAAAGTATGTTTTCTATAGAATTCAAAAATGGTTGTTCAGCAAAATGTGTAAAATTCTCGTAAATGCAAACTTCASTTCGTTCGCCTCCATCGATTACATAATTTTCCTTTCTTGTCCGCTCTTGAAGTAGATCAACGAGGACCAATCAGGTGCCGTGYAATAYGYGCGCGCGTTGTGATTGGTTGTCTAAAAATAGATTATCGGGACATCTGATGGTGGCGATATTATTGGGGAGATGGACACTTCTGGTTATGTACTTCTGGTAGAAAAAAAAATTAACAAGGCACTCGTGACTCGATAAAATGATGGAAAAATCACCAAAAAACGCATAAATAGAACGTCAACGATTTATAAATACTATTCAATATCTRCATAGTGGTATAATACATTTAAAAGCTTGTCAAGTTTTCATCGCTTGTAAAAGAAGAATGAACGTAGCCGGTTGCGAGTTAAACATTGGAACCTCGTTTCACTATGAGGAAAAATAGAGCTGTTCGCTTGTCATGTTTTCTTGAAAATTCCAAACCAAAAAAAGTAAAAACAACTGAAAATTGAATTTACGAGCGCTCCGCCATTTTTGTTTCCTCCAACCATGAGCTATTACCCAATGACCATGGTTGAGCAGCCAATGACAGCGCGCGATTTGCGATATACCATAAGTTGTTCGATACTATAAACACGTAATGGACCTAATCGGCTAACGCATTAGCATAAAGGTTTCCACCCAATTCAAACCACTCGGGAGTAAGTTTCATTGTTCGTTGTATTTTCATTTTGCAGTTCAATTCTTAGAAACAAAAGTTCTTTTTCCCACAGAATTTGAATTGGGTGGTAACGTAGGTCTATTCAGTCGTAAGACGGTGATGTGCTTAATAAACGATATTATTATATATATAACGAGACTTTCATAGAGTAAATGACATAAATAAAAATCTTTATGCTATATTTTCACATGTGAAAAATTGCGATACGTCCAATCAGAAGCGCGTATAGCATTTTTCACATGTGAAAATATAACCAATCATAACACAGAAAAAACGTAATCAACCAATCAGAAAGCGAAGTTCACAACACTGAAATGGCTTCCCTCACATACCGCGCGTTGATGACACTGGTGAAAAACGCACTGCGCATGTCCACAGCCTTCCCGCTGAAATCTTCCTAATTTCCTTTGTAAGCGATTTTTGTGAAAGTTCTTTACAATTTATAAGCTCGTTCACCGATATATAAGATTCATATTTCCATCAATCATTGTTCATGATAGGTCCTTTTAGTAGTTTCTATTTTTATCTTGTCATTTCTATTTTGAGAAAATGAGGTTTTTCATAGTATTTTCTGTGTTGTCGCTGTAAATCGCCAGGCGCTCTGTTTACAGATTTCAAGACGCGAGCGCCCAGAAACGACGTAGAAATTTGCACGTTTGTGAGCTACAGATATTAATTCTGGCGCTCTATGTTTTAAATTTAAGATTTCTAATTGGCTAAATAACTAGTATAACTATCCAAGCAGATTTTCTAAAGATTTTGTTTATGAAGAATGCTTTTTTTACAAATAATGAAAATTTTATGCGRCATCTCTCGGACCATCCGGGCGGTGGACGCAAATCTATGACTCCATTTCCAATGGCCTAAGTAAAATTTTCTTTTTAACTATTATAGAGTCAAAGTCATTGCTTGGGCCACAGGCTTCCCAGTCTCTGAGGAGTTACGGGAGATGGGCTACCTGTGGCGACAAACTTAACGGCTTTTCACCTGTGGTCAAAATATCGTTTCTAAACCGTATCTTTTCATTCTTGAAATATCAAAAAACTTCAATAAAGATGCTTCAATAGTTTATGAACATTCTTGGAGGGGTTATTTTCGATTTTGATGCTGTTTTAGTGTGTTTTGGGAGGGTTAGATTTCGACTCCCTCCAGATAAAATAAAAAAAAGGCTGGCAGCCGATCGCTCTCGGCGGGCCAACTGATCAACTTCAACGCCGAATTTTTCCACCTTACGCCAGTCCTCCAAAATTAAGCTTTTGGTATGCTGCAGAATAAAAAACCAATATCAACAGAGAAAATCGACCTCGAAGGTCGAAAATYCACTTTGTAAATTATCTGTACAAATTTCGAACTCAAAGGAATGTAGCAACGGTCAAATTTTGCCTCTCCCCCCTCCCCAAAGTCAAATTRTTCGTCGGTAAGAATCATTTAAACATTGAAAACTATTCCTTAGTTTACTAGAAAAACTACTAACATGTTTCTTGTTCACTTGTAGCAAAGCGCGAGAATTGAATGTGTGCATGGTCCAAAAAAATAATAGTCCTCTTCATGATTGGTACTTTGGGGAGGGGGGAGAGGCAAAATTTGAACAGATCATATTTACAAAGTGGATTTTCGATCTTCGCGGTCGATTTTCTCTGTTGATATTGGTCGTTGGAAGCTGAAACTTGGCGAGGATGTAGGAAGATTATTACTCTGCAGCATACCAAAAGCTTGATGGTTGTGCTGGAACTGAGKGAGTTTTCGCTGTGGTCTTGGGAAATATACTGGTGGGAATATTTGCATTAATTCTTTTAGATGTCGATTAAAACTTGAAAATATATCTTAAGGACCTGCTGGTTCAGAAACTTTCAGTGTCTTTAGGCTTCACAATCATAAAGTCGCAGAGATGTCATCAGAGATGTATTCGTTCAGCTATTTGCTTTCGGTCTCTTGGAACTGATTTCTTTGCTTAAGACTTTTTTTCTCTCGGCGGAAATTCATCGAGTAGCTTTTTCATCACTCGCCGTTTTAGCTGTTGAATTTTTGTTTTTTCTCCTGACAATATTAGTTGTCAATTCACTTAAATTAGTTGTCAATTCTCTAAAATACTTTGTCTCTTCATAAGAAGCTTGAAGTTGTTGATTGAATTCCGTGGTACGTTTTCACAAGTCTTTCCTGATTGGACGAAACGCTTTTCGCACGTGTGAGAAAKTCGTTTCGCTCCTATGATTGGCTAGTTAATATTTTGAAACKGATTTTCAAATAGAAATATATGTGAGAAAATCTCAGTATGTATATAATAAACTATATTTCTTTTATTCTTCATTGATTTGTACTTATATATTTACCTGATTTTGGAGGGAAATATCGAGTAAGCGTCAATATAATGAAGAATTTCTTGGACAAGTCGATCTGTTAGTTCTTCAAATGATACAAAAGTATCACCCTATTAAAAACAACAAAAATCAGCAGTTGTTACAGACACATATTTTCCTTACACTTTCGTAGTGTTAAGCACCACAAGTGCAAACGGCCCCTTTCAAACGGCAATATAGTGCACGCCACATAAGTGTGAAACAATTATTAACTAATTAGTGCCTGATAAAGATTTTTGTTTTAGCGGCAAAAGATAGCTTTTGGCACAAGCCAATGGTCTATTGTATAAATCTAATATAGAGTTTCTAGCTAACAATAGAAGGTTAAAGATTTTTATTATATGACATCAAAATTTCTCGCGCTCTGATTGGCTGTTCGGCTGTGTGATATCCAACAAACCTGAGGAACTCTCAGCGTCGAGGASTTTTATGGCCGCCGATAGTTTTCCTTGCATGACCAGCTTTRCAAATGACTTGGAAAMATCTTCGACTGACTTGTTCTTTTTGCCACTTTTAAATTTTCCYTGAATAAATTTAACTTCTTTTAATAGTAGTTGTATGTCTCCTTGTCTCCATTGGCTTAGTCTTCGTTCGATRGCTGCACTGTGCTCCTTGMTTTTGGACGTCGGAGAGGGTTTTTGCAAAATCAATGTGGGAGGCACCATAAAGGACTTTAGAGCGATTGAATTCATATTTGAATCAGTGTTGAATTGTCTCATCCACCATGTGAGCTCTTCTATGAATGCCTTTCCAGCCTTACCCGATGGTACGTTAAATATATTTCTTCTGAATTTTGGTATTTCATCGTAAATATCGTTGATCGTAGCGCAAAACTGCTCGTGGCTGAGGCTACCCCATTGTTTAGCTACACACGCGGRGGGAAAAACTTCGCAGGAAGGTAAATTTGGTTGTATTTTTCTTGTACTAATTTCCTCATTGACCAGGGAATCCTCTGGGTATTGCGATATGCTGTTATTATGCAAAGACAGTGCTGGTCTTGGATGAGTGGTTGCATATTCGCCGTCATTAATTTCAAGCTGGTTGATGTTTTCCTCTCTGTTTTGTGTAGAAAAAATGCTATCTTGAATCTTTTCCAGCCTCGATGCTTGATCCCTCAAATTTTGCCCGGTAAAACCAAGGTATCCATAGCCCATATCGTCCAATAGTTCCTTCATAATCTGTATATAGCCTTTCTTCCTGCTATTTTGTTTAGTCGGGCAATCCTTCAGAAGTGATTCTTGTGCTTTTCTCTTGCATTCTAGAACAGCTCTATTCATGTCCTCAGTCCAGTTTCGCTTTCCTTTGCGGGACATGATGTTTATATACAAGTAGAGGCTTCTTTAAAGATAGATTACGAAGTTTCAACTCATAAAAATAAAAAAGTAAAGAGAGAGCATGGCAGCGCGTCTTGACTCGACGACGCCATGAATCTTCAGTATTTAATGGTCTAAGCAGTAATAAATTTCGTTTTATATT